TTGAAAGCAAGAAAGCTTACCTAGTAGTGGTGCGTCTGGAAAAGCGAAGTATTATATGATAAATAATAAGTTGAACTGTCGTCACAAAAAGAATTTGTTGTTGTCCGAATAGGATTGGCTATCGCCGAAGTTTGGTTTTGTTGTTGTCGGAGCGCTAGATAAAGGGACTGTCGCCACAATAGATGCTTGAAGTTGTCGAACTTGGTGTTGCGCTGGAGCGGCAAAAGAGCTTCGCTGTTGTGAAAGTAGGAAGAAGTAGCTGTCGCCGAGGAAGGCCTTTATTCCTGTCGAAAATGGTAGATAATGGACCTGTCGCCACAAGAGGATTTCGATAGTGTTTGTATGGGGCTGCCGCCACAAAAGGACTTCTGTATTGCCAAAGTTGTAGAAAAAAGCTGTCGCTGCGAAAAGGTTTCGTTTTTGCGAGAGTGCTAAATGAGGGGCTGGCACCGCAAGAGCACTCTTTCTGGAAGTTCTGAAGTGAACTCGGCTGCTGTCGTAGAACTTCTAACGAAAGTAATTTAAGAAGGCCGCTGCCGCGGCTGTGGACACACTTAGACAAATATACGGGCCCGGTTATCGCGAATGAGAAAAAAGTCGCCCCGATATAGTTAAGATGTTGTGGTGGTAGGCTGCCGCCACTGCGCACGAGCGAGGAAGAAGGAGTGCGCGCGCGCATCGGTCTGCGCGTGCACAGGGCAGGGAGTACTATGATTCACCGTCGCTTTTGACGCGAACTTTTGAACGCAAGCAGTGAATCCTTTCTATCATTCTTCTTAAAATCTGTAGGCGGGGTCTGCGCTGCGTACAGACTCTCGCGTTCTTTTCTTGTACAGAAGGGCTTTAAAAATCAGTGTTGGCGTCAGGATGTAGATTTTTTAGCTACTGAATCTCGGCAAAAAAAATGAAGTGGTTAAATTTGTTTGATAGATAAAATAACTAATTGGAATATGTTGATAGCCTGAGATGTCCCGCTGACCGTGCCGTGACGCGCAGGAAGTGTTCAACATGTGTTTACAAAGGCCTACCCAAACACACTCACGGCTCATACTTAGGAAACCTCAACTCTCTGGTGATCCTAGATGTGGGGTCACATTAAACCTCACGTACTGGGGAGAAGAAAAGTGAATATTTCTTACGCGCGTCTGTCCAAATAGGGCCATGGACCATGTTCAGAAAATTATAGTGCTGTAGCTGTTTCGGTTGCGGAGTTGCGTGAAATATGGAAGGAACATGAAGTTGCTTTCAAGTACAC